CTGCACGCAAAATTGGATCTTGATAAATCCGGCCCTATGGGTATTGTTGCCAGGCTAGAGATTTTTTTGATTTTTTTTAAACAATATTATGAGAATAAAGTCATACAATTACAAGAATAAAGTTATAAAATTACAAGAATAAACTCGCATAAAGTAATTTTAAGACTTTATTCTCTAATCAAAAAAAATTAATCTCTAGCCTGGTCCTAATACTTTGTTGTACTATACAGATTTAAAACTTGATTTAAAAAAAGAGTTTAAAAAATAAATTTTTTTCATTGGCATTCAGAAAACTAGACAATATTTGACATACTTGGTAAAAATTGGAGCAGAGCTGAAATGACCAGTGGTTATGCAGACATTTTTTGCTCTCTTTTAACCTCCCTCAGCAGTCTCCTCATTGCTCTAGTCCTAGCAGACTGAATCATTGGGGTAGAGGCATAGGAAAAGTTTGGGTGAGAAGCTAATTTTTTGTTACTATTTTGTGACCTGAAATGATCAGCAAACATCTGCCTTACTCAAAGAAGACCCAAAGAAAACAGGGACTCTGAGACACACCATTTTTGTACAACACAATACCACAGTTCTATTTAAGGTTTCCTAAATGCTTGAATAAACTCAGAAAAACATCAAGATTAAACGGAAGACAAATATTGTAGTAGATTTAGTTATGCTGAGTAAATGTGCTGAAATTAAAGGCAGGATTTAATTTAAGTGTTGGAATCTAGAATTAAAGATGATTTTAATTATTTCTAAGGTTCTTTACACATAATAATCAGAGGTCCCACTAATTATGAAGGGCACCCCATCTGCACTTAAAGTGTACTATTTTTCATAAAGCCAGATTCTAAAATATTTTACTTTTACCCAGCAGTCCAAAAAAGTAAAACAATTTACAGTAATAAACAAACCACTGGACTTTGTTTTCCAAGTTCGAAGACGTTTTGCTTCCCATCCAGGAAGCTTTTTCAATTCAGAATGTATGGATTAGCATTGAGTTCCAAGCTTTATAGAATAGCCCAACAAAGCCTGTTATGGCTTAAAAAGCATAACATTGAACCGGAATAACAGGTCCACCCCTTAGTGGTGGGGAATCGTTGGTGATTCTCTGGAAGAATCTTCACCCAGCAGACAATGTTTCATCATTAGGAGCAAGTTGAGATCTTTATTTTTAGTATGCTTAAGACATGGGGAAAAGACAATTACTATCAGAAATTGGGATCTTAATGCTGTTAAAAATAGAACAGCCAAAGACAAGGGATGCCTCTGGTTTTCTATTCTCAATTACCCTTTTTCCTAATTTCTTCCTAATTTTACAAGAGGGATTTCTGCCTGTACATTTGAAAAAAAAAAAGGCTGAACAGTCTTAAATGACTCTTACTCAGGTACAAATACACCAAAGTTTCAGTTATTAAAAAGTAATTTTATATCGGGGAGGAAGAGACAAAAAAAAAAAAAATTGTATTACAATCTTCCTTTCCGTTGTTTAAATTCTAACAATAAATATCTGCAATTTAAAGGTAGAACATACCTATAAAAATAAAAATACTTTTTATTATAATGCACAGAGTTGTGATTAAAGAAGAGAACCATGGTTAAATAAATTTTCCAAATTTTTCCTCACAAAGTGATAGCCAAGTAAAGGTGTCTAAATTGTGATGGTGGATGAATCCTGTTAATCTGAGTAATAAGTACACTGTACCTTGGTCCAGTCTGTGACAGAGCGTCATCTTAGCCAGCGCCACCTCAGGCCCAGGGTGGTCCAGGACCTGCCTGCACCACTGAAGAGGGCTGAGCATGCTTTCACTGGGTGGCTTGGCTCTGGGACTCACATACAGCCTGAGACACAGAAGCACTGAAGTCATATTCTGCAGCCTTGATTCAAAACCAGAATGATCAGTGAGAGTTTAATGGATCTTTAAAAAGTGTCAGAGGGTGTATGTTAAATTCAAAACATTTTGGACAGGCTGCATAAGCTAAACCACAGTTATAGAATTGAAATTATGACTCAATCAGTGAAACTTATAAGGCAAAACATATACAGTATATATCGGTAGCGTTAACGTGCAATATTCATTTAAACTGCTCTCTGCTCTTTTCCCATAGGAGAATGATTGATCAGAAATACATATCTGGAGACAATCTGAAACAATCAGTTTAATCGCGATTAATCGATTATTGAAATAATTGTCAACTAACTCAGTAATCGATTTAATGTTAAGAGGAGCATAGAGACTCTAAAATATGCCTTTAGCTGACGGAGCAAACTACTTAGAGCAATAACTATGCCATAATTGTGAAAATATATATAAATACTTTACATTTGAGATAAAAAGAAAAACATTTCCATCTGTCAATATCTATTTAGAACTCCACTAATAGAAAGTTCACCCGGTTTAATTCTGTAGAAAATCTTCTTTGATAAAACCTTTCACTATCCAATTATTAATCAACTAATAGGACAAATAATCAAAAGATTATTACATTGGCAAAATATTCTTTAGTTGCAGCCCTAATCTGGACTGAGCTAAAGTGAATCTTCAAAGCCAGAAAACCCCTGTACTGGCTGTCAAGCACAGGGTGGATGAATTATGCTGGGGGTCTCCTTTACTACAGTTAGGACTTTCTACAGAATATGTAACTTTACCATGAATCCTTAGCTTTGCTGTTAATCACAGAAGACAATGATTTATTGTCATGATCTTGGCACTAATGGCTGGCTTAATTACTCACTCCATTCACCCATCCAACCCTGCCCAGTTGCTCATTAACTTTCATCTGATCCACCTGCTGCTGCCTCTATTTAAGGCGCTTGCATCCAGTCATCAGAGCTAGATTGTTCTTGTTCTCTCTAGCCATTGGTGAGAGTGTTTTTAGAGTTGCTTGGTGTTTCTGATTTTCTGATTCTGACCTGTTCTCATCTGAATGGTTTGCCTGAAATGTATTGGGACTTCTGGACCTCTGAGCTGCCTGTTCTGATCTGTTTGCCTGACCTGGCTTCGGACTCCCGCATGTTCTCCACATCTGGAATACTCTGGGCTGCGTCCGCTGCATCTTGTTGGCAGCAGACCGGCTGGATCCTACCTTGTTCTCTGGGCACGGACTGAACTGTTAAACCAGGTTAGCGACTCACATGGAGAATCATCCTCCGTCAGATTATCATTGTTGCTAACATGTGTTTCTCTCCTGCAGAGTTCCCTGTGATAGAAGCTCTAGCCACTGCTACTCCGGTCCACTGGTTCTAAATAAACACTTTTTGAAAAATTCCACTGTCTTTGTCCTTGAATACAGGGTTCTCTGTTCTGAATCGTTACATTTATAACATGTATCATAACGACTAGGGATGCACGATATTGGGATTTTGGCCGAATCCGATATGCCGATATTTTAAAACTCATGTAGCCAATAATCGATATCGATACTGATGTTAAAGCTGGACAAAAATAAGTAGTCATTGAAAATAGCAGTTTTGTTATCCATTTCTGACACTTTGAAAAATAATAGACTCAAATATATTTTAATATGCTGATATCAAATTGATTTTTAAAAACGCGGTATCAATCTATTTTACTTTCAAAATCTTGTGAAATTTCATTGTTCTGTTACAAACTCTTGTGATATTTTGCAAATTCTTGTGAGATTTTGTTAGTAAAATAGATCAATACCGCATCAATATATCAACATATAAAAAAATGGCAAAATTTCGTGAATTTTCGGAGGATTTCGTAGCAGAACGATGACATATAGCAATATTTCATTAGTAAAAGAGATTGATATGGTGTTTTTAAATTGCAATATATCAGCATATGAAGATATTGTGATGTTTTAATGTATCAGTATTTTTTCCCTCATCTTTAGAAAAAAGAAGTTTTTGAGGAAGAAGTAGTATTTTTATTTTTTTTTTTTAGACTTTAGAAACTCAGAAGCTGATCAAATATCGGGTTAAATATCGGTGGGGTGGCCGATGTCCGATATTCAGTTTTCAGGCCGATACCGATAGGGGGCCGATTATATCGTGCATCCCTAATAACGACTTAGGTCAAACATCTTAACAACTCACAGCTGCCAATGAAGAACATGCAGAGAAGAAGTAAACCTGCAAACATGAGAACGATTCTACTTTTAAACCCACCCCTTAGAAATAAGAGTTTAAATACATTCATTGAAGCCTTGGTATGCAATCATGCTAATAAAGAGTCTTTGCTGCTTCTTACCTAAGCTCCCAAATAGTAATATATGAAATCCAAAAATAAAACTTATTTATCATTATTTGACTTTTCAATAGAAATGTTGCTGTTTTCTATTTAACTCTGTAAGCCTTATTTAGTGAAAACAAGTAACATGTCTCATTTTCTGCATAGAATTACACCTACACATGATAGAGGGCTAAAATAAAACTGGGATCTATTCCTGGACGATTCAAGTTAAAGAACATAAAAAGGACAAGAGTGACCTTAAATTCAACAACTAGGCCAGAGTGTTAGAGAGATTTTAAGGTCAGCTTGTCGTGTTAGATGGAAAAAGGATACACCAGGGTAGGAGAACAGCTTTGCAATAAGCTGCATGCTACATCCTCCACCTCCTCACATCGAATGCATAAAGCAGCTTCAGTAGTCAGCATGTCAGTGTGAGAGCAACCCAAGTCAACAGCTACTGTGCGTTACGCTAGTTCAGCCTGGGGCTGAGCAGCGCACACAAAGCCGAGCTGTTTGATCATAGACTGAAGGAGGTCATTGTTTCTAAATTCATCCCAGAACATATGCTGCTCCGAACATCCAAAGATTCTGATCTATTATATTGTTTTTCTTCCTTAAGAAAAAAAAGTCCACAAGTATTCAATATGACAGAGTTTAACATGAGAAGAATAAACACCATAATCAAAGCAGATACAACTTTTCACAAGACCTTTTTCCACCCATCAGCAACCAGTCTTTAATAAATCCTGCAAGCTTTTCTTGGCTTGCTACTTTTTTTTTTTTATCAAACTAGAGAGATAGAAATAAGTTCTTCTAATTCAAATTAATAACTAGAACTTAACATAACAGGTTTAGGAGCTTATTTAGTGTAAATTAGTCATAAAGAAATACTTCATTTTCTAACTTTCTGTACAGAAAAACAGAATGTTTTACATTAATTTATTTGATTTATTTGTACAGCTTCACATTATAGAATAGAATAGAATAGAATAGAATAGAATAGAATAGAATAGAATAGAATAGAATAGAATAGAATATTAAATCCCTTTATTGTACCAAAATGGGGGAAATTCTGGTGTTTACAGCAGCAAAAGATTATAGAAAAAACACAATTGTGGAGCTTAGAAAAAGGCATAAGAATAACATAATAGTGAAGAGCTAAAAGATAGACAATAAATAATACTGCAAAGTGTTTTAACAATGTTAAACTGTGCACCTGGACATTAAATAACCAGTACACAGCTATAGACATAGCTGTATATTATATTATAGCTGTTAACATAAAAGATGCAGGGATCAGATCCTTATTTCCCTTGTAACTGATTTTTTGTTATCTTTGCCAATCTTTCTTAAAAACTGTAAAACATAGAAGAGTGAAAAGCTGTTGTAGAACTTTAGGTGATTGTAGTAGGGTTTAATCTACCAAATGAAAGGATAGCAGTCATTAGGCTACTGTCTCCACTTATGTTTTAAATTACTAATTTTAAATTTTTTTTAAAATATGATGCATTTCTTAACACAAAATGTGGGGATTTGCTTCGATTAATCCATTTAAAGGTCAAAAACGAATAAAAATCCACCGGATTTATGGTATCCTTCACCACCATAAGGGTAAACTGACTAATTCATATTTTGGACCACTGCATCTCTAGACATTACCATCAAATTTAATCATTGTAATTTGGATAATTGTTCTATATTTGAAAAAACAGTAAACTTTTTTAAAATTTTCCATTTAGAAAACTTTCAATTCAATTCAGTTTATTTCTATAGCACCAATTCACAACACATCTCATCTCAAGGCACTTTACAGTTCACCAGATCATTACCGGTAAGTCAAATTGATTCAAAGTTTTCTATCTAAGGAAAACCGGTTGATTGCATCAACTCATTGACTGGAATGCAATCCCTCACACTAAGCATGCTTGTAGCGACAGTGGAGAGGAAAAACTCCCTTTTAACAGGAAAAAAACTCCAGCAGAACCAGGCAGAACTTTCACATTGATATAAAAGTCTGCTTACAATAATCACAAGCCTAAAGTATGTATTGCTCTATGAAATATTCAGATGGAGCTTTAATGCATTATATATAATAAAACTCTGGCTTTTTAACTGTGTTTTGGTCAATGATGTAACTATTGGTGATGTTTGGCATTCTTAAATCTAAATAAACAAAGATCACATGTAAAGCTCTATTCTTGGGTGTCTTTATTCTTGACATATATCTTCGGCGTTTGCTTTTAATGAAATGTTCTTTAAGATTTCTTCATTTTTCTGCATGTTGGATGATCTTAAATACATGTTTTGCTTAACAAACATGTTTTTGCTTAGAAATCTTACTCAGCCTTTTTTTTTTATGAACAAAAACACGGTGGTTACCAGCTATCGGGCTCTCCAACAGGGAGCACGGTGTTCAGGTCCAAAACATCCACCTCATCCAGCACCGTGGCGGAGGCGCCACTGTCCTCCACGGGGGCGTCAGGAGACGCGCAGCTCGGCTGAAAATAAGCGAACGGCTCTCCCGGCGGTCCCCGTGGCGTGGAGAAACACGGGTGACTCGAAACGTCATATTTGGAAGAGAAAGCGTCAGCCAGACACGCCGTGGCCCCATGCAGACAGGACAGCGGGCTCTGGAGATGAGGGCCCACGGCGCAATTGTTTCCAGCGCTCGCTCTGCTCCGCAATTGTTCGTTTTGCTTCTCCAATTTTCGGACCAGCTCCTGGAGCTTCAGCACCTCCAGCTCCGCGTTGGCGATTTTATTGTTGCCGTTGACGTCCGCCATCCTGTGGGGGTTCAGCACCTCTGCTTCCATTGGATAAGAAGCACATTTAGAGGAGTAGAAAGCACGGCCTGTCTGCAGAGAGTCCCTTTCTATTCAGAGAGGGTGTCCAGATCCCCCCCTTAAAGCTACTACAGACAGACAGTGATGCTGCTGCTGCTGCTGCTGCTGCTGCTGCTGGGATGACTGCACAGCCTGCATCCCATTGGTCCGCAGCTTGGAGCTAAATTCCCATCACACCACTGAGGGAGAGATTATTATAGACGCTCTAAACATGTTCAAAACCAAAGCTGTGTGCATTAAAGTTGCAAATTTCTCCCTATTTCTATTAATATTTACATTTTACTCTGGAAAATAAACATATACTTTTTGTGAAAAATGGTGAAAATGGTGGCTATATCACAGCTATAAGATCTTAATTTTAATCCTGTTTTCAAGGGAAATGCTATTGTACCAAAATTTTGTACTGATACTGTACTTGTCCCTACCAACAATTAGATGTGAAGAACATGCTTATAGTTTACAATACAGCATTGTTGCAGCAGTAGAGGACTTCTGCATGGAAAAGGCTGACAGACAAAAACCTTTTTTATCTAAAATGCAAAATGTTTATATATATTTTTTTTTTTACAATTTTGGTATAATTCCTGCTCTAAGTGGGTCACACTGTGAGCTAAAGACATGTTTTAGCGTCTATACTCCAGTTAACGATTAATCGATTACTAAATTTGTTGACATTATTAAAATAATCGATTATTCTTATTAATTGTTTCAGCCCTAGATAAAATACACGAAATGGGTTAAACAGAATAACTACAGCCTAGATGTACAACTTGTAGATTGAAGTTAATGTTCTAAATGCTCAGTGTCAGTTCCACTTCTAGTTCCCATGCTCATGTAAATAAAATAAATTAATTTGGCATCCCTTGAATCTATTATTTTGCTTTATTTAATGATACAAAGAGAACATTTAAAAGATAAGAGTGGGTTTTACCTCTGTTTACCTCTGCACAATTCTATACATTCAAAAGAAAATACAGGATAAATCCACATATAACAGACATATTTAGACTATATTTGGTTAAATAGGCACAGATTTACCTACTGTCTTAGTTGCTGGTAATTTGGAGTGGAAAATAGTCCTAATTCTACGTTCATTAGAGCCGATGATGCTTCAAACATTGAAAAACAGCATCTAGTGTGTGTAGTGCTTATAACATTTGTATAAATGTAGCAAGAAATGCTGCTTTACTCTTTAAATGATATACACCCTGATTTTCACGTCAAGCATAACAAACAAGCATGCATATTTTTGCTTAGGACCAATGACATCAGACCAATAGTGTCCCTACCAAAGTTGAATCAAACATACGCCCTTGATTGTAGATGTTTTACTTTTAACTGAAGAGAGTTAAGAAATTCACATAGAAAACCTTTGCAAACAAATTGATTCCCTGCAGTATTTTGAGGTATAGTGGAGGATGTTCTTTTTGTCATAGTCTTGGTTCTGTTATGTTTTCTTTTGAGTATTCAGTTTTACTTTGCTCCTTGTTTTCTAGTTTGAGTGGTTTAATTCTTATTTTGTTGTGTTTTCTGGTTATTTTCAGTTTTCAGGTTTTTATTTGTTGCCCTCTGCTGCCCTCTTGTGTTCTCCTTTTTCCCTAGCTCCTTTCCTGTTTCTGCCCTGTTCACACCTGCTCCCTATCTGCTCGTTAGCCCTCTCTTTGTTTCAGTCTCCCATAAATAATTTCTCTGTGCAGTTCTTCAGTGCTGGTTCCTCGTCAAACTTCCTCCAACACGGTTTAATTGAGTTTTTCCTCCTCGTGATGGTTTTCCCCTCAATGTCTCCATGGTTTTGGTTAGTTTGACTTTGTTTTCTTGTTTGATTTGTGTATTTTTAGATTCCTGCCTCCATGTTCAGTTGTTTGATTACTCATCGTTAAATCATCAAGAAACTCCCCTCTGCCTCCCTGCCTCTGCATTTGGGTCCAAAAACCTCAACCAAATCCCGACACTTTTTTCCAGGTGGATCACCAAAATAAGTGGTCCTCCTAATTGTCAATCACTCTGGCGATATGTTTACATAAGGCCGTTCTACGTGTTTATCCTAATTTTTACTCACTTTTTTTTAATAGCAGAGCTTAAAATTTTAGGAATCAGGCTTTAATATAAGGTAATACTTGGGTAAATTCTCATTATGAGTTTTTTTTTTGTCTCCTTCATAGCAACACACAACAACAGTGACAACAACTGAGACTGTGATGGTAAAAACTGACAGTAATGGAAAGTAAGTTTGATCCCATACTTTCATAGGTCTCATCCCTCAAAACTATACAACTTCATATAAATATACAACTAAATAAACTCTAGACAACATAGATGCAAGGAGATATGTCAAATGCATGTTAAAGGTATAGTGGAGTATGTTTTTTTTTTCCGGGTGGATCATTAAAACAAGTGGTCGTCCTAATTGTCAATCATTCTGGCGATATGTTTACGTAAGGCCTTCCTACATGCTCGTCCCCATTTTCACTTACCGGTGCTGAGTCTGACATAGTGGAAAAATTGCAAATCTTTTGAAAAGTAAGCTTGTATAAGCGATTGAAACAGTCACTTTTAAACAGAGCGTGCACAAGGAGAAATGGGCTCGTGCACGCTCTCACACGCATTTAATAGACCTTCCCTTTCAGGAGCGAGTGCGGGGTTTTGCATGTGCTTTTTTTATGGAGAGGGCGGGTCTTTTCAAAAATTCGTGAAAACCCTCCACTCTACCATTAAGATGTCAACAAAGAAAATTAAAAATTTTCAAAGTCACTTTTTAAACATATTAGTGATACATATATAAAAGTCACAGTGGTGGCATAAATAGGAGGTTGACAAAAAAGATACAAATAGATATGATTCAAAATAACTGATCTGATCAATAACCTTTGCCTTTCCTTTTGGAGTTATATCCTATTCATTTTTACATAATTTAATCTGTTTTTCTGCAATTAAAAAAAAATACAAAAAAAAAAAATCAAATAATTTGTTTCTTTAGAGCATAACAAATTGCAAAAGACATTGAACATATATTATTGCAGCTTTATTGACCCAATTACAGATTTTACAAAGGCAAAGACAGACTTATAAGAGGAAATGCATATATACTCATATTCCCCTCAAACAACAAAGACAGCCTGGCCTTTTTCTTGTGATTTAATCATCCAATCAATAAAAATTGTCTAAAATCAACAACAACACAAAAAAAATCAGAATTTTTAATAACGCCATTTTGTTATCCTCTGCATGACTTGTGGCGAAGGTTTCAAATGCGTTACGTTTGGGGGCTCTGTATTATCACGTAATAATTTAGCTGTAAACATAAACTAAAAGAACAAGGACTTTTTATTTTGGGGGAGGCGGTGTATATATAGGAGTTTATATGCCTTATTGCACAAAGAAAAAGCCCCCGGCCCTCAGTATTGTAATGTATCCTCTTGCATTGCTCACAAGTCCCCAAAAAGCACATTTAGGACAGAAACAGATATAAAATATAGATGTAAAGACAACACTTGTAAAGGACAGTAGATTTCATGCCATGTGTGGCCTGTATTGCCACATAAAAATGTAATTCACATGATGAAACTCTGATTTTTTTTCGGAAGCACCCCACTCAAAGATGTCTTAGTACGACCCACGTCACCCATAGTATCAGAATGCAACAGTTGGCTTAATCTGAGAGGAGGCTCAGCGGCGCCATTTATCTGTGAGGGAGGAAAGGAATAGTGTTTATTGATATTTATTGATTGGAGAACTGAATGCAGGAACACCGATGAGATGGCTCATTTACCTCTGGTGATTTCGAAGCAGTTCTCGCAGTGCACCATGCGTTTGTAGATCCACATGCTGTCCCCGGCTTTCAGATTACCCAGAGAGCCGTTACAGACGTCACACTGCCAAAGGAAGCAGATGCTTAAAGGAGGGAGGGATAATCATGCTTAGTACATAGCAGCTACAGCTGATGGCTATTAGCATCAGTCCTTCACTGGATAAATGTCAATAAGTACATTTATGTAAGAACTGCTTGAAATACACTGTGTGTATATCATAATACCACAATGAGGACTTCAGTGATTTGTTTTGATTATTTTAAATATATATTGATAGGGAGTGGTATGGATTTACACATTTTGCTGCATTGCAACCACAAATGTCCTGATTGGTTGAGTTCATGGAGAAAAATAGCGTGGTGAAATCAAAGGGCTTACTTTAAAGCAGGATGCGTGGCAGTTGATCTTCATTTCGTCCAGGACCATCTTGGCATCACCAGTGAAGGGCTTACGGCAGGAGGTGCACAGGTCCTTCTCCAGCACAGGCCTGGTTCAAACATGATCATCGTCAGTCTTGTTTAACAGTTAATACAACATGTTACCTTTAATGTTGTCTTAGAGAAGACTTATAACTCAACAGCCAGTAATTCCTGTCTTTGCAGGAATATTATAAGACGTTCAATCAACAGATATCTTTCGGTTCTTAGAGCATAAGCTTCTTTTTGATTAATGACTCTTCAAGCTTTTAATTGACAAAGAGTTATCTAAGACTTTTAGGCTGCACACATTTAAACATTTAAACATTACTAAAAAACCAACCTTAAAGGAGCCATAAAATGATTATATAGGGCATTTGGTGCTGGTCCTTAAGGTCTCTGAATAGGGTGTGTAACATTAGTTGGGCTGAAAATGGCATATTTGCTGTTCTATGAGCCCTAATGCAAGCCTGATTAAAAGCCCTAGAATGAAACGACAGGTTTTCTTCCTTGTATGGTATGATCATGAATGTTTAGATGAGCTGTGCGCTGATTGGTTGGTTTACAATGAGCGAAGCTGCTGAGCAAAGGTTACTCCCTGAAACATCAAATTGTTGATATGGTAGGGTGACCAGACGACCTCTTTTTGTCTGACATACCCTACTTTTCATACCTAAAAAAAATGTCTGGGGGGGAATTTCAAAATCGTCCGGGATTTTGGTCGACTACAGTGCAGCATGCAGTCGAAACAGGGAGCCAGTGGGGGACGGAGTGACCAAACCCGACCCAGTGACGGTAGCCTGTACAACGGCGGACCCATGCTTCGTCCTGCCTGCTTCCCCCTGGTCCCGTCTAGTCAGCGACCCTGCATGCAGTTAAATGGTGACGAAGTGACGTCAATTCGAGGCTTCGTTTGATTTCGCCCATTTTGTGGTGGAAGTTTTGCATTGTAGGATTTGCAGAGAAAGAAGGTGTCGATGGGGTTTGAACTTCTCTGTACGTCCATGTCACCCCCTGAACTCTCGTTATTGATCTATGTCAATGTAAACTCAGTTTTGCATTCTATGACCCCTTTAACACATTTTTGTAGTGAATAATGTTGTCAAAATAATAAGACCTGAATGCATTGGTGAACATGTCCTTTTCTTCTCACGTTGTAGTGTCTCGGTATAACTGCTCTGAACATTAACATGGATTTGCCCGAACAGATCATTGTTTTTTATCAAGCTTCTCCACAGGTTCGGATATATGCTAAGCTAACATGCTCAAGTAATGAGCGTTGTAAACCTAAGGGGTGATTTACATCAGAAGAAGTACGACACTGACTTTGTATTTAGCTTCTGGCAAATCTAAACTTTCATATTCACTTCTTTTTTAGGTTTCTCTTTTCTTTTTATGCTGATGCTGTTTTCTTACCTCTCAGAGGATTGATAAACACTCTTGCTGGAAGATTTGGAGTAGATTGGATCAGACAGAATGTCATCTGACAAGCTGTGTGAGTAAAAAAAAAGTATTATAACAAAAATTTAGCACCAAAACCTATCCTAATTTAAATCAAAACAATTTTGTTATTATAACAAATATTTTCCACCAAAATCTATCCACATTTCAGATAATTTCATACCTGCTACTCTTGTAGGATGTGGAGGAATAGTGAGAGGGGCTGTTGAGGCTGCTGTACTCATAACTGCAACAAAAACAGAATAACAGATACATTTACCTCTCACTTTCACCTATTCTTTATCTTAAGTGTGCCCACTCATTGTGCCACCCACCTGGAGTCTGTTCTGGAGTAGGAGTAGGTTTTATAGTCGCTGCTGTAGTTGCACAAACACAGAATAGATTAAAGAAAACAGAAACCCCACAGATATAATTTATAGTGCTAGATCATTTACCTGTATGAACCGCTGCGAGTGTAGGGTGTATCATCAGTGTATGAGCTGTAGCTGCGCATCAAAACAGCAAAGGTTGGATTCAGTAAAGGGATTGTCTCTGTTTTAGTTCAACTAATGAATTAAAAAAAACTTCTCTTGCTATAAAAACTGGAAAGGACAAGAGATTTGTTAAGTTCACCTTCCAGCAGCACAAAGACCCTAAACAAGCAGCCAGAGCTACTATTAAACGCTTTACATCAAAGCATAGCTTTAACTCAGGTTACTTATATACTGTTCAATATCACCTCTTTTTCTTTTTAAGAAAAAAACTTAAAAGGATGCATAATTTTCTGTACTTGTGCAACTTGGGATTGATTAGTACATAAAACTCCCAGTTTTGCAGGGAAATCTGGGTTAAAATGGCAACAAAAAAAAATTGTGCAGAGCACTAAGTAAAAGGCTTTAAATAATCGCTTGCTCCACAGTTACAAGAGCCAGGTGCATTACGATTAAAAAAGCAATCAATTTTTGTTATTATGTAGGAAGTAGGCCTTATTCTTTTCTCACCTGGTGGTTCGTGTGGAGGACGGTGTTGATGGGCTTTCTTCCCTGTAAAAAAGAAGAAAAAAAACATAAGTTCATTCCTGAGAATTGTTTTTTTCTCCAATGTTTGAAAAAGAAAGACAAAGCCACTCACTCTTTCCTGCTGGTGACTATGACAGTGTCCTTCACTGTGGTGCTTGAACTGTTGAGAGATGAAATATTTTACCAATGCATTGAACAACTGGTCTATTTTATCTGCTCATTAAAGGCTGAGACGTCTCACCTGACAGGGGATGTGATGCCTTTAGGCAGGAGGGAGTCGTACAGGTCATCCACAGGCCTGTTAGAATAAAAACATTAGGGACAGACGTCAATCACAGCCCTAACTCAGATACACATAAATGAGAGATGGAGGTTTCATCTTACGTTGAGGGGGACTTTGTTACGGTTGTTGTCGTTTTGGTGTCATCTCTTGAAATCAAAATAAGACAAAACATTTCAACAGACGACCCAGTATTATAAGCACTGTTATTGCTATTAAACGTTATGTTAATAGTAGCTTTAGAACCATAGACTTCCTGTTAGATGTTTGCATGTATGCTCTATAGGCATTTAAGCTTTCATTTTGTGCTTTTAATGCTACATTTTAACAGTTAATTAGCAGGGGATTTTTTAAATAATATATCAAGGAGTGGATTTATAAATTAAGAACTTTCATTTCCTCTCATTCACACACTATCTAAATAACACAACCAACCTCAGGTATGACCTGTGTTCCCATTAACATTTGGATAAATGCCACTTTGTGAATAACAGAGAAATCCCATTGTTTTTGCAGCCATTCATAAACTTCAGAAATTTTTGTAGGAATTTGAATTAGTTGCTTTTTTGGTATGTAGCTAGAAATGAATAGGAAGATATCGTTATACCAGGGTCACTATCTACGAGTTTAACATCATCATGGACAGGGAGTGTGCCAATAAAGAAAGAACCCCTTCTTCAAAATACACTTTTTTTTTTTTTTTATATAAATCTTAGATAAATTTTGCAGCTGCCCATATGGACAGGCCGAAAGCTCTCTGGAGAAATGTTCTCCAGTTTGAGAAAAAAATATTTTTGGACACAATAATGAGAGGAGTCAGAAGTAAAGATGAGGTTTTAAAACCTAACAATAATGTAGAAACTGTATGGTGGTGGCAGCATTGTGCTGCGGGATCACTTCCTGCCCAAGGCTCATAGTCATACTCATTCTAAAGGTCTGACCTGCTGCGTGTATGAGGCGGATTAACTCACCCATTGTAAGACCTCTTCACCGACACAGTCTCACTGCTGGAAATAGTTGTTTTTCTGTAACTGAGATAAAAAAAAATGTTTAAGCATCTTATGTCCAGAGTTACATATATTTCTGCTCAACATTTCATAACTGGGATATAACCAGCTACTGGTGATTTACATAGGTTAAAATGTGCAGTTCAGAAAAAGAGTGCTACCTGTCTCCATCCTTGTCTTTGATAGAATCGGGAATCAGTGAGTCATACAGCTGATTCTCAGCGCTGCAAGAAAGAATATATTTATTCAGTAGGGTGCCAAATATACTGCTTCTTATTATCAATATGAAATAAAAAATTATTCTTTGCAAAACATTGGGCTCAAACATTGTGGTAACAACTGCAGGTCACATTTCATACACATATGAAAAGGACATATTTACAGCTTTTTCAAAATAAGTCATACTGTAGTGGTTATTACATAATTATTAGGATTAAGAATATGTTTGAATTAATGGATGAATTGATTATGGATCAGTGATGTTTTACAAAAGCGGTTGTTTAAAATTTTTATTACCAACCTGTTCCCATTTAGTATAGACTTATTTTTCAATTGCTAAGATCCATTTACAGTTAATATGTCCCTCAGTCTGCCAATTCTGTGGCTTAACGGAGCAGAAAACACACAGAGGAAGTCAACAAGTACACTGTACCCTCACACATTCACTGTTCTCACACCTACAGAGCATCTGAGCCCTGAATCAGCCTGCATTTTCTCAACAGAAGATCGAGAAAGAAAAAAAAAGACATTATATAACAACTCATTGTGGGGAGTATTAACTGCTGATGCAGTAAATCTGTGGCCAATTTATGTTCAAGATTACGATTATAGCAGCTTCTCATTTGTTTGTTTTTTTGCCAACTTTGAGTTTTCGAATTAAGACAAACATATCTATTCTTTTTGATTTGTTCTAAATGCAAGCATTTGAAATGAGCGTCTTATCTATTTGGATGCATTTGAAATGAAAAATAAAAACAGTTTTTGGCGACTCACTCTTTGCTGCTGTCCACAACAGTCTTTGTCTTTGTGGTGATTGTGCTGCTGAGATAGTGATTGGATGTTTGAGCATCAGAATAACACACTAGGTTGTTTTTTTAATTGTAAAAACAATGTCTCACCTGTCAGGAGATGTGATGGAATTGGGCATGAGGGATTCATACAGGTTGTCGTCAGCCCTGTTAAGATATAATGTACCCATCAAAAAATCAATTGCCTGTTATAATAAGTAAACATTATGCAGTTACATTTCACTCTGTGTATTAATATAAGACACATGTCTTATAACAATATGTTCTTATATTATACTGTGTTGCATTATTATGCCTTAGATCACATTAGAGTTATGTTGCATCAAAAAATAGAACATTGTATAACACTATATAGTATCATGTTGCATATATTATTGCAAATCATGTATTGTAAAATGCTGTGGCACATTTTATCACAATGTATTAGACCGGTTTACATCGCATTTTAATGCATTATGTGCAGAGATGGGAAGTAACGAAGTACAAATACTTTGTTACTGTACTCAAGTAGATTTTTCTGATATTTTTACTTTACTTTACTACTTATTTTTATGGCGACTTTTTACTTCTACTCCTTACATTTTTACCCAAATATCTGTACTTTCTACTCCTTACATTTTAAAAAATTGGCTCGTTACTTTAGGTTTGAATAATTTCAGTGGAGTTACCGTTATTGTTTTTCACGTCATCAATACCAATTTCAATCTAATTGGATGGGAATCTACGTTGCATTTGACGCACCACTACAAGATGAATCGACAGATTCGGCGGTATTCATTCGCAGCAAATCATTGCAGCTTGGTGGCGGTGGCGTTAGCATAGTAGCATGGACGACGAGATGATTGAAAATGAACACAACGGAGATCTAGTCCTATTGGCAGACATCCATTTAAAATGTAGGCAACGGCATGAAAAAAGTGGTTTCTACTTTTACTTTTATACTTTAAGTAAATTTACAAGCCTGTACTTTGTTATTTTTACTTGAGTAAAGAAGTTTAATCAGTACTTCCACTTTTACCAGAGTATTTTTTAACACAAGTATCTGTACTTTTACTCAAGTACGGAAAGTGAGTACTTTTGCCATCTCTGATTATGTGGCACTGCACTGCATCACATAATGGATCACATCTTAATGGTATGGTGGAGGATTTTTATGAATTTTAAAAAAGACTCACCTTCTCCACTTTAAAAAAAAAAAGTATATGCACAACCCTGTACCCGCTCCCAAGAGGGAATGCCTATTAAACACGTGTGAGAGCATGCACATGCCCATTTCTCCTCATGCACGCTCTCTTTAAAAGTTGATGTTTGCATCTCTCAGGCAAGCTTACTTTCCAAAAGATTTCCAATTTTTCCACTATGTCAGACTCACCACTGGTAAGTGAAAATGGGGACGAGCACGTAGGACGGCCTTACGTAAATAAATAACCAGAATGATCGACAATTAGGAGGACCACATATTTTAATGATCCACCCAACAAAAAAAAATCCTCCACTCTACCTTTAACATGCGTTTGACATAGATGCAAAGAGATTTTTGCATCTATGTTGCCTAGAGTTCATTTAGTGGTATATTTATCCGATTAAATAGTGTCACCTAACAGGAAGTTGTATAATTTGGAGGGATGAGACCTATGAAAGTATGGGATCAAACTTACTTTTCATTGCTGTCAGTTTTTACCGTCACAGTCTCAGTTGTTGTCACTGTTGTTTTTCTATGGAGACAAAAATAAAAAAAATTGTAATAAGTATTTATCCAAGCATTGCCTTATACGAAAGCCTGATTCCTAAAATTTTAAGCTCTGTTATTAAAAAAATGTCACCTGTCCGTAGTTTTAGAATCCTCCTTCCCTGGCGAGGGGGTGAGTGAGTTGTAAAGCTGGTCCTCCGCACTGGTTGGAGATATATTATAAGTTAAATATAAAAGAAAGGTACAAATGACAATTTAATTACAACGTAAAGGGCTTCTAACTTACTCTTTAGGAGTGATTGTTGGTTTTGTCGTCTTGGTAGGTGAGTAGGTTGAATACTGTGAACTAAATGTGAGAAGACATGACAACCAACCTTTATTTTCAATTATAATAACGTAAATGAACATTTTAAGACTCAGAAGCAAACATACTTTATTAAGACTGTCCTGTGTTTTTGATGCCATTGAATGCCTTAGAAACTTCTCAAATTAGTATTTTAATGGAATAATTAGGTAAATAAATAATTGCTTTTAGTGCTGCTGGTGCAGCTTTAAAAACCCACATAGAGAATAATTTCAAGATAAGAAAAGATAAGATAGACTATTGATCTTACAGTGGAGATATCACTTGTCACATCGGCTCAATGGTCAAAAAATAATCACTTATTTAACAGGATTATTGCGCAGGTTGTTGCACAGTGTATTAAATAGGTATTTATATAAATAGGTATTTATAAATATAGTTATTGCACAGGGTATTAAATAGGTAGTTATATAAATAGGTATTTTTAAATATAGTTATTGCACAGGGTATTAAATAGATTTTTATATAAATAGGTATTTATAAATATAGTGCACATGGTATTAAATAGGTATATATATATATATATATATATATATATATATATATATATATATATATATATATATACACAGATAGACATTTATATATATAGTTATTGCACAGCGTATTAAATAGTGATTTCACTGACCAATGGCAGTGTTTGGCAGATGATTTCTAATATATGGCAATGAAAATCTAATTTTTCTTTAAAAAAAACATTAACTAACAACACAATGTAGTTTATGTTACACAACAGCAGCAATTTAAAATATATTTTTTTTCTGTCTTGAATTGGATCAATTTTTACCCTTTGCTTGAGGCCTTGACGCGCTCCATGAAAGTCTCCGTTTTAGTGGGCGATTTGGTCACAGGGGACCTATACAGAAATAAAAGATTTAATTAAAAGGCCACGATAATGAGTAAACATCTACAGTGATGGAACAAATCAAAATACTTTAGGACGGATATATTATTCCTTACTTGACACTTTGGGTGGTGGTAATGGTGGTGGTGGTCTCAGTTGTCCCATCTTTGGTCACAGTTTTTGTTTTAGTGCTGAAAGAGGGCAAAAATAATCAATAAATCCTTTATTTCTACTCTACATTTTTCTTGCTGGTTATCAACTGTGGTTCTAAAACAAAAATGCTGTGAAATATTTTTGTTTTTCATAAAGTTTAATTTTCAACACATATTTTGACATCTCTCGTAAAATATATGTCAAAAAAGTAGATAAATAAAACTAATATTAACACAACTTGTATTGCAGCAGCAAAATCTCAAAACATGTTGAAAAACACATACAGTGAGGGGGAAATCTTTTGGGTAAATGAGAGAAAATCTTGATGACTAAATGTACCCAATCATGTTTTAAAGTGTACTTTAAAGGGGGAATGGTAGCCTAGTGTTTAGGGCATGGGGCTTGGAATCCTGAGGTTGTGAGTTTGAAACCCATTCCCACAGACTGCCACTCTGGCTCCCTGAACAAAGACCCTTAACCCCACACTGCTCCCCGGGCGCTGCACAATGGCAGCCCACTGTTCCCCAAAGGGGATGGCTTAAATGCAGAGAGTTGTGAGAGCAATAAAGATCAATTTATTTTTACTTTACCTTTTTAAATGAACCAGAGTCTTTATAAACATTTTAATTAGTAATAATTATCCATTTGCATAATAGAAATCCATTTTATGACGACTTTGAATATTAAAGGATAGGTGGTGCATCCTATGGCATGATGAACTCCATCCTGGCGTATTGTTATGACATGATAAAGAGGCACATTTTTATCACTCACTCTTTAAAATTAGAAAGTATATATAAGATGTATTTTAGGTTAGTTATACTTTAGTCGCCAGTCACTAGTGAGGTAAAGGTTTTCTTACATACACTCAAATTAATACGCTCAGTTCAATGGAAACTTTGACAAGCAAAGCTGAAGGAGGAACCATGTCTGTTTATCAACAGGAATAAAAAATCCGGAGGCTGGTAAAGGAGGCAGAATAAAGCATCCAAAATTCCCTTTTGGAAAAATACTGCAGTATGAGATTGATGCAGGTGCGATAACAGATTGATTTAATTACCCAGGGGTGACTCTATAGGCCTTAGTGTTATCTGAGTAATGCTTACCTGCTGGAAGGTTCTGTCTTCCCACTTAATGGTCTGATTGAACAAAAAACGGGTTTAAGCATAAAAAATGTATATGAATCTGCATATAAAACACAAAATCTATATCTATACAAGAATATAATATATAATAATGTACCTTTTTGAGTAGGAAGAAGGGGTGGTGCTAAAAGAACAGAAACATACATTAGACACAGGTCTACACTAGAACCCAACTTAAATATGATCATATTTTAAATAAATATTTACACAAATATTATTAATGGTAAATGTAGGAGTAACAAAAAGTAGAATAAACCCACGTGGTTTTCAGCTCCTCTTTACTTCCACTGAACCTGCAACGATGAAACTCTTAAGTTAAGGTTTTTCTTGCGATCTATTTATTTAGCTATTTATTTATTGCTCATCTTTAAAAAGGTTATCAAGCTAGAGTGACTTTACCTCTTGCTGAGAGCTTGCACAGATGAAGATGAACTTTTTGTTACCGTGGTTTTCTGTGGCTCAGTTTCTGAGTTACTGTGTAAATGGGAAAAAAGGGAAATGAAAACGTACATATTCATACATACATACATACATATACATATATATATATATATATATATATATATGGAGAATTAAAATTCATAAATCCCACTAGTCACTTAGTACTTGTGATTTACATGTTTGTTTTACCTCAGAGAAGTTTCACTGCTCTTGACTCGACTCAAGACAGTTTTGCCAAAGTTTGGGTCTCGGCTGTGGGATTGAAAAAAAAAACCCAAAATGAATGCATCCATTCATTCATGCAGTTATGCGTCAACACGTTGACTTTCTAAAGGAATGTAAGTGTCTCTGAAGGTGCGCTGATTACAGGTAACTCTCGTCTGTCCAGCCAAACCTCACTGCTGCATCTGTTTTGTGACTTACTCGACAGGCTCGTCTTCATCGTCAGTCTTTCTAATCCAGCTGTTGTCCTTCAGCAGGGTCTTGGCTGAAAGCAGACATAACTGTCGTCACTCTAGCAAATATTTGGACATTACAACAAATAGCTTAATGTGCCTAAAGGTATTTTTGAGACACCAGAGGTCATTTTAACTAACTTCTACTACAGGGGGGAAAAAATTAACTCTAATACAGTGATTCCCTGCTGACCCTCCCCCACTTGTTGCTAGGGTCTCCAGTCCAGCTGGGAGAAATAAGACGATCTTGCTTGCAAAGCAGACCGATTGAGTTGTTTGGAAATATTTCTGGTTAGGAAAAACACAAACAGTCATGGAATGGAATCTAAAGGAGCCCCACCTTTCCATCGCCTTTAGGAAAGCCTGTTTTGAAACAGCAGTTGCCAAGCTACAGCAACATTTCTGTTAAACAGCTAAAAACACTGACGTCCACGGAAGATACCCTGACTAAATCAGCAGACAGTCAATTCTTGTACTTGTGTAATTTTACAAAGAGGAAAGTTGCAAATTTTGTATAAGGTACCAAACAATAAGGTTTAAAAAACTACTAATGAATTCAGTGGGTTTAAGGATATTAATATTCAATCAAAATAACTCCACATAAATAGCAGTCATTTAACCATAATTTCTGTGTCAAAGTTACCATAAATATCAAACATTTCTGCTTAAGGTTATACAAAATTACATGGAGACTTTAAGTCATAATTAACTAGATTCAATTATTTCAAGTGATATATTATGTATAGATATATTTAAATATATAACATATTGATATAAGAAATATTTGGGGCCACCTGCTGAAAAGCTCCATTATTATTAGAGAGCTTAGCGTTTATATGAAAATCTATTATAAAAAGCATATTTATAGTTGTGCCCAATAACTATATATACAATTGTCTGAACAACTATTTGTCATGTTAAAGAGTTCTCATTTGTTTAAATGCTTCAGATTATTAAACAGGTCATAATGTCAGGCAAAGATAACCTGTTTTTAAATCATGATTTTATTTATAAAGCAAAAAAAGCTTCCTAGACTGACCTCCTCCTTTATGGAAAAGTCATATTATGCTTAATGTAATAACTAAAACATCCACCATGTGTAAAAGGAAGTGCCATTAAGTGTTAAGTTGAATGTTTACGTTAATGCTGCAGCAGCGAAATCAGGTTAAAGGTGGATTATTGTCCTACTTGGTTACCCAGCTATTTGACCTTTAGATTATGAATTGATTGCTGAATTATCAGGATTTTTTTTTTTCTGCTGTAGAGCAGAATTTATGGTTGTGCAGTTCTGAAAAAAAAGCAAAGCAACTCCATTATATCACATCACCACGGTTACCAATGGTTTAGGCTTTTGAACCCTCACATAGATAACATTTATTGCTCAGTCTGCTCCATATTGTTTAATGATCTGATATAAATCAATTCAATTGATGTCTGTGATGATTAAGCTAAATGAGTAATTGATGCAGTTTTGGGGGGATTCTGTTGTTTATCTGAAGCTAATGGATTTAACTGGGCATATATGAAACCCGGAATCCTTAGAAATGGTGTAAAAATGTAATATATATATTCATATATATATATATATATATANTGGTTCACAGATATGTCCCAAAAACCTAATTTCAAACTTTACTCGATATTTTACTTTACTTTATTTTGCAGCTCTGTCTACAATAAAGTCTGGATATATCCGAATTACATTTTAAAACAAAACTAACATAAAGAGAAGAGCTCATCAAGCTAAATTCTTCTTTTTTTTGAGTTATACCAAGTAAAGAGCAGGTTTAAATTTAGGTGAGGGGATTTAAAAAAAATCCAAATTTAATCCAAAAAAATCCAAATTTATATATATATATATATATATATATACATATATATACATATATATAGTTATTGTTTTTGTTGTAATAATCATAATAATAATAATAAAAAATAATCTTCTTTTAATCTGTTTATCTTTGTCAAATTGTAAAACAAAGTTTATGATTTGAAACATTCAATTGTGAGGAAAAGGCAAAAGTCTTGACAGGATATATACTTTTTAACTCTACTTTAAACTATTTGAAAGTCATTTTCAGTTTTATTATTCATTATAAGTTCAGTACTTACAACTAGAGTAGCTCATGTTGGACTTTCACCTGAAAAACACAGAGAATGCAGCACTGTAAACTGGGAACCAGGTGGCGCTACAGCCTTAGAATATCAATGGAAAGAAGCTTGTTGATTCTCAACATATTTTTTAATAAACAGAACTGTTCAGAAACCACTTTTTCTATCACCTTCTGCACATTTTTAATCATTTCCTCTGCAGTTTACTTTAATGACTGAATGTCATTTAGTTTGTCACTGCACCTTCCGTCCAGACTCAATGATTAAGCTGTAAACTGGTTTGTCTTGATTTTTGGCCCCCATGCAGACACACCCACCCTCCACAACACTCCTTCTCCAAACACAGCATTGTCAGCAAAACAAGAGGGGCATACAGTAACATACCAAAAGGCAGTAAATCCCAGAATCCAAAAGCAGATATACTCTTAAGAGGAAAAAATAATCATCAGTCACACGCTCCAGGATCAGTATTTTTATTAAGTTTCTACACTTTGTAAGCATTCCGTATTTAAAGTAATCCTTATTTGCTAAAAAAAAAAAAAAAAAAAAAAAAAAAAAAAAAAGCTCACATTTGTAATAAAAATAGTAAGGTGGAGCAACAATCCCGTAACATAGTTTCATTAAAAAAAAAAAAAAGAAAAAAAAACATTTCATTAATCTTCTCTTTTATTTAAACCTCTTTCTAGAGAGCCTGAAATCAGCAGGATGAAATCACTGCTTTCCCTGCATTGAGTGAAAACTGTTTACTATTTTAGTTCAGCTGCCAGACCAACAATAGATGTGACTATTAAAGAAGTAACTATCACTTCAAAGTGTGGAAAATATTTGAATTGTTTCCGTTTGTTATTTCTGTCTGAAATGACTCCAGAGATCTAGCTTCATTCTTCAAACAGACATCAGTCAGCAAATAAAACAGTGAGAGCAAAAAAAAACTGCTCTCACTGAAAGAATGTCTTCCTGGTGCAAATCTGTGGAGTAAATCAGCTGCTCATAAAAACTGAAAGCACTCTTAATGTGATTTTTTTTTATCATTAAAAAAAAAATGTAAGTGGCTTATTGCCAGGAAAAAGTGCATAACTGTTAAGCAAAGCATTCTCAGTAACACTGCAAGTTTAACTCTGGAGAATGGAGAGAAAGTCCGGCTTCCTCTGAACCTCAATCATGCATATTCACAGATATGATCAAATAAACATTTCTATTTTAGGTTAAAACAACAACTATAAATGTTAAAATGATATAATTTTAACTGAATGATTTGAATGGGAAATATGAGGCCTACCTCTGAAGATGGCTCTGTAAATCGTTTTCAAAGATAAACTCCTGGCTTCGTCTCAGCTCAGAACACCTGTCTATCACTTCTCACAGTGAAGTCGCACCTTCGTCATTGCTTCTACTTTTAACCTGAAGGGGAGGCCACCCCAGGGAGTGGCCTGGAAGCCGAATCAAAGAAACAATTTTCTCTTTTTTTGTAATCTCACTCTACATTTTTCTTCCTCCTGAATCGTCATCATTTCCCTCCTAATTAGTAGTTTCTGCTTGTAGGCTGAGAATTAATGGACCTGGGTGGAGTGCTAGTAAACCTGCTCCTCAGCTTTTGTGTTGAGATATCTTTCTAGCACAGTCTAGATGAATCAACGCTGAAAATATGACACTGATCTCTGAAGCTTTAGAATCATGAGTGAGTCGAACCAGCTGATTCAAGCTGATCACAAACCTGTGTCCCTGGGGACTCGATCTTTTACCACATTATGACAGCAGACTTTGTACTTTACTCATGTGCGCTGATAAAAGTATTACGATGCTCCATACAAAGCCCTGATAGAAAACCTTGACTGAAGAAGAAATGTTTCTTCTTGCTACAAAATTTCATATATTTTAAATTCTGTTTTAATCATTTATATTAACATTTACCACTTCACTGGTTACATAAAAAAAAATAAACATTGTACAGAGGTAAAGCAGCACAGGCCCCTCTGGAACATGCCTCCATTAGAAATCGGGGTAGTGGCAGCATTATGCCGTGTGGATGCCTTGATTTTCCAGCAATGAAGATAATTGGTGGGAAGACTATATGCAGGAAAGTCTTGGAAAGAGGAACAAATCTATGGGAAGACTTTTAAAAGGCATAAGGTTGTAGGTTAACACTTCTAGCTCTAAAATGACTAGAAACATTCAACCAGAGAAAAGATTCTCCTCCTATGAGTAAGTGAAAAATCTGTGAATAGGTGTGCCATGTTCTGGGCGTTTAAAGGAATGACAGGTGTGCAGCCACTCTCATACCTGGCCTGGGTGTGACAGCATGTCCCTGATAGCCGAGCCCCTCCCAGTCACTGACAGTAAAGAAGGAATGCAGACTAGCCTGGAATAAAGACAGCTGAAACTTTTTGTTAATTAGCAAACCATGACAAGTTTTGAAAGAGAACCTCTGCACAGTCATTTTCCCCAAAAGCTCATTTGAATTTTAGTTTTTTATACGATTTTAAGGTCCTAAACTTATTTTTGCTACACACTTCCTTTAAGTATCCACAATCTTTAATAATGTTAAAACTGTTGATGGTTTTCAGTGGAGGTGGGCTAAGATCAAACATAAAACAAATGATAGAGCCATTCAGCTTTTAATCTGAGACACTCAGAGAAGCTGACTTGACTTTGATACTGCATCTAACCTGCGATGCTATTGAGCATGAAGGAAACTTGGTTACATTAAAACTGCTGCAATGTAACCTAACTTGGTTTTCTCAACATTTGTTTTTTCAACCTATGCAAGTTGGAAATGATAGTTTAGTCAACATTCTCTTAATATTTTCTCCTACAAACTAACCATCTGTGTTGATGAACAAGGACATACTGTTCAACCTAAAGATAAAAAAACAAAAACTAAAAAAACTGCATTGTTTGTGCAGGAAAAACAAATCAAAATATTCAGAAGCTATGCTTAAAATAAATTTGATGAGAAAATAAAGAAATAGGGTCAGCAGGATATTCTGTCATTTTATTTTGAATTCATTGATTTATCATCACAATAAAAGCAATATAACGTATGTGTATTACTCAAACTTTAAAAAAATGTAGTCGGCCTATTTTCCGGAAAGAAAAACAAAACTATAAACGTCTGCTCATTCATCCAGGTTTGTTATCTTTTTAGTTATTAGTTATTACAACTATTTTACATTTTAGTCCCTGATATTTTCTCATCCACTCTGCAAATTAACTTGAAACGAAGGGTTTTGTTTTGTTTTTTGAAATACAGCAAACACAACTTCATATAATTTATCGAATAACATTTCAATTTGTGATTAAAATCATGATTAAACTGATATAAATCAAATTATCTGTTCGTCTCAAATTGTCATATTTAATCAAAAATGAGTGAAACAGATCAATAAACCCCTTTTACTATTATTTGAATTTGGGCGATGGTCCATTTATATGAGAATGTACATAATTACTAAAGATATATACTAGATTCTTTGTTAACAAATAACTTTAGACATGAAAAAAGATTAAAACAGTAAATATTTGTGATCTTAGTGTGATTACTTTTTTGTTGTGGTTGTTTCAGCATCTTTTTGTACCAAAAAAAAAAGATGTTTTCATCTCTCTGTATATCTCTAGTAATTAACCTTTCTTCTGAAAATGAAACACTGCCCTCTACTGGTGATAGCAAAACCCACAAACAGTGTTCAGGACTGATTTTTATAAAGACAGGTGAGGTATCTTATTACAAAACCTAAACCAGCCTTCTTATGGATTGCAAATGATTTCATGTAATTATATTTATTTTAGAACGCTTTGAGTTGTAAAGAAAACATATTTTCTGCTCTCTTATTTTAAAAACTCTATGTTTGCACTTTGCACTGTAACGTTCAAAAACTATGTTTTGTGCTAAAAGTAGCACAAAAAGCAATAAGCTGAGCAAAGTTCATTGCCTCACATTAGTGAGGAGGCATTTCACTGACTTGCTGATCATAGAAAAAAATCTTCACATTGTATGCAATACTTTTAATGTTGACATACTTCAGAAGAGTCATATTTTTCCAGAAAATGTTTCATTTACCTAAGGTGACACTGTGATCCAAGTTTAGAAGCTTGTTGCAGTATTTTTGTGAAGTTTAATTCAGCTGTTACAATTTTAAACATAGTCACACAGTCAGTGAAGTGAACATCTACTTCTAATAGAGATGGATATTTTGTTATTATGTTGTTGTGGTGTTTAAAGAGAACACCCATGACCTAAACATTGTTTTCTTACCAGGTTTGTTAAGGTGGTACAATCACAGGGTAAGGTTTGAGTTTTGGCTAAAACAGTCACACTATTGCAAACCCAACATTCCTTACAAACAAACAAATACAACATTACTTAAAGAAACAGCGACAATTATAAAAGTACTCCCTTAAGGAACATCACACTGCTCTCCCAACAATTAAATTTTTTTAAGGTATCAACTCTCAATGGTGTGGGAGGAGTCAATATTGGTGTAACCTTGTCGGCCTCGTGGGGCTCTAATAGGAAATCGAGATCTGAGGGACAAACATCTTGCACTAAAGAGGGAAGACGGTGTCCTTTATAGCAGGTCATTCAATCTCTATGCAGGACCATTTTACTCGCCTTTAGAAGGGAACTGCTCCTTATAAACTGATTTCCTAACCTGTTCCAGAGCACAGCAGGGCCCTATCCACATGGTGTCCAGTTTGGGACCACGGCCTTCTCTACTCTTTGTATTGCTTTTTTTTTTTTTTTTTTTTTTACATTTTTTCATTCAGGAAAAACTCATCATGGAGGTCAACTACAAAGAGGACAAAAAGAAAAAAATCCATAGGAGAGAAGTGTCAGAGCGATAGATAAAATAAAATGCCTAGTAAATTCCGTCCCCCTAATCAATTCTTATGATTTATTAACCTTTTGGTGTTTGTTGCCATGCAATAATCTTTTTGGATTATTTAACTACTAAAATAGCAGTAAACAGTTTGCACATTATTTCTGCAAACTACTGTAGATGCAAAAATTTTATAAAAAACAGACTCACTTCCATTTCAATTACGTCAACATTTTCACTTTAAAAAGAGAAGAAAAAAGAGACACTTGAAATTTTTTTTTTTAGAATACATATTTAATAGATATATAAATAGAATAGAAAATCCATTTATTGTCCCACAATGGGGAAATACTGTTATTCTTATAATCAAAGGTGCTATAAAAAAAAAAAAGAAACGGAGAAGATGCAGCTCACCTGATTCATCTTATTATGTTCACTCCTTGGCATGTAATTGTTAATCACTCATTCATGTGGCAGCAGGGAAACACTTAAAACATGCAGGACAGAGGACCATGAGGACCTGTGGGATAACATTGTAAGTAATTTGACATTTGGCCAAGCCTACATGCTTTGATGTAGAACGTTTATTTTTGATAACTTTTGATCCCCAATGCCTAAGGTGAATGTAGAGTGGATTTGGAATCTGTAATTCAAAAGTTACAGGAGGAGTTCGATCAGATACAACCAAAATGGCTCATTTCCTGTGGGGTTTAGACTATGGCTCCAAGTGACTTTTTTTTTTTTTTGCATCCTAGAGGCATATGCATTTGTGCAAAGTTTCATAATCCTCAGTAAAAGCATGGCATGTGGCTGGTTGTTTTAGTGTAGAGGTGCTCAAGTCCAGTCCTAAAGAGCTACCATCCTGTAACTTTTAGATGCATCTCTTCTCTAGCACACCTGCATCTAAAGCCTCAATCCTCTCATTTAGCTCAGCAAAGGCATAGCAACGAGCCACTCATTTGATTCAGGTGTGTTAAAAATGGCAGCATCAAAAAGTTGCAGGATAGTAGCTCTTGAGGACTGGACATGAGCACCCCTGTTTTAGTGTTTCTAGGGCACACTGTAGAGCAGACATCCCTAAAGTTGGTCCTCGAGGGCCACTGTCCTGCAGGTTTTCTCTGCTTTAGCACACCTGATTCTGATGATTGCAGTTCAGCAAAAGCCTGTTGATCAACTATCAATGTAAATCAGCTGTGCTGGAGCAGGGGAACCTCTAAAACCTGCAGGACAGCGGCCCTCTGGGACCGACTTTGGGGATGCCTGCTGTAGAAATGTTAAAACATGCCCACCTAATATTGGGCGGCATTCCTGTGAGGGGTTGCTGTAGGATAAAACATGGTGATTTTGGTCCAGGATCAAAGATCTATGTGGAAATGAGAGCCAAAGATATCGTCATGGTGAAACGCCTTGCAAAAAAAATACACTAACTTCTGTGCCTTCCATGCCCCTTCAACATACACGAAAACTCACAATTTTGATAACTTTAAATCTGATATGCCTTACTGACCAAGTTTGAAGCTGGTGGCTTAAACTCCCTAGGAGGAGTTAATTAAAGTTTGATGAACAACGACCAAAAATTGACTTTTGACCCAAAAATTGCGACTTCCTGAGGGTTTTAGATGACACATCACATGATACAGACACTTTTTTTC